ACAGAGCGCAGAAAGAATTGTTGAATCGAAAAGATCAAGCATTCTTCATGAACTGTGTCTTTGTTCGGTTGATCCACAGCCGTGTCTTCTTTCCTGCTTTATTGGTTCAGCAAGCTTAGTCTCGACTACTATAAAAAATCATAAAAATTATTGATTTGTTGAACTACAGATGTTTCGAAACTGATCTTCTATCGTAATTATAAGCCTCGCTGCTCGGTTTGACTCGAGAGTTAGGGGCGAGAAAAGTTCCTGAGAAGATCTTCTGAGATCCCTGAGTCCACTAATTTCATGGTTACCCTTAACTTATTTTTCAGTTTTGTTTTTCTTCTTTAAGAAAACCGATCATTGACTGTCTTTGTTGGAGCCTGAGCAATGAGCTGTGGCTGTTACAATTCAATCTCGACATCGTTGAGAGGGACCAAATCGAGTGGCACGGCTCGTACTCGGATTTAGAATTGCAACAGGCTTTGAACGCTGTTATAGGAACTCCTCAATGATACGATCCCTCCCCTAACCGATCTCATTGGCTGCTTTCATAGTCCGCCGGCACGCCGGCACGCCGGCCCGTTGTCTACACCCGGAACGTTGTCCCTTTTCATGGTCACGTTTTAATTCTTCTCAATCGTCTCTTCAGGGAAAAAGCGGGATGTATGAGTGTGTATGACCCGTGGACCAGAGCGTTAAAACCTGGTAGGAATACATGCGGCAGGATGAGAACACTTATAGTGTGCGGTAGGACCGGACTCCGCCCGCAGAGAACGGTGTTCAAGGGAAACAAGTGTTCGAGCGGAAACTTATAACTTCTGTCCCCGTGTACCCAAATCCTTCAAACTTGGTTGGAGTACAGGAAGCAAGAAGAGATCACTAACGGAGGACGGTTTTACGAGGTTCCGCCTACTATGGGCGGTGTTTGAGCGGAAATTCATAGCCCATCTCCTCGTGGACCTAGAGCGTTAAAATTTGGAAGGAGTGCAAACGTTAGTATGGGAGCACTGACCATTATTGGCAGCACCAGGCACCGCAAACAGGGCGCGGGGTTTGTGCGAAAAGAGTCAACTTGAAGCTAGAAAGTCCAAATTTAGTAGTAATACAGGCGGCTGGAAGGGAACACTCATGCTGGGTGGCAGTACCGCCACAAGGGGGCAGGGTTTCTAGAGTAGACGAGACAGGATGGGAACACTGACAATGGAGGTCTTGGAAAACAGGATCCACTCACCAATTAAACCCGACGCCTTTGTTATTCGCTATGGAACTTTGACACTTTAATACATCTCATTCGACAAGAAGAGTAAGTGCGGTGATAGCAACCGATTGAGGGTGCTAACTCATAAGGAGATGGAAATTGGTCCATTTTTTGCTATTAGATTACGATCGCTACCCAGCAAGTTGGCGACTCAATGAGAATCACGGTTTCTCTTTGCTCCGATATCATTCTTGGCGAGACTTATCCGATCGCTAATAATCTGGGACTCCCAAATGATTATAAATCTGTAGGAAAAGGCAAGGCCGATCTGTCTATTATTACAACTCTTCCACAGGAAGGGGGGAGGGGTGGCCCAACTGGAAACAAAATAATTGCTGTGCGGAAAATGCAGTTCGTATTGATACATGGTGAATTTAGTGAAGTATAGCTATGCACCGCATTGCTAAGGTGAGTGTACAGTCATCTGATGTAACCGTCTCCTGTACTAATTACAGTACAAAAATTCTTCAGCTGCTCTTACAGCGGCGAGCAAAGTCAGGCTTTTTAACGACATCTCAGAAGCAGCAACAGTGGTGTGTTTTAAAGCGCTGGCTTCTCTCTCCATTATACACTACACTCATGGAACCACAGGATTGCTGGCCGAAAATTAGTAGGCCAATTACAAGCAGAGACGAGACTGCGAACATCTCCTTAGAACCAGTCTTAATCTTTTCTAGTCGTGAGCATGTTCGCGAGGGTTTCCAAATCGTATCCCTGGAATAATCTGTGATCCTGAGGAGCGCCTTCTCACAGGGGTCTCTCTGAGGATGCTCTGGAATTTTCACACTTTTCTTGACAAAAAATAAGCGATATCGCTCTGGCACAGATTCCAGCTCAAATCATTATAGAAGTAGAAAATGACTATAGGCGACGATCCTACCCTTCTCAATTTTCTGGTCATTTGTGGTGAGAAATATACGCGTTCTCCGGGAACTTTCGCGTACTGAACACCTTTCCATCAGAAAAATTGTGTAAAGCACGTGTCGTGTTCAATTAGGGCACGGCTTCTGCTCTCTTTTTCAAGCTTCTTCTCGTCGAAAAAATCGGAAGGCTTTCGAAAATCTATCCGGATACTACTGTGTTTGCTCAGGAGTGCTCTTCTCATCGAAGAAAAACATAAACTCAATTCGGCAGTCATTTTTCTCGTTGCTGCACGCTTAGTAGCGTAAGCTTTTCTAAGCTACCATATCCGGAAGTGGGGCTCTAATTGGGAGAAGACGATCTTCTTCAGGCTGGTTTTTGACCCGACCACGCATCGCGATACAAGACACTGACGTCTGAGAAACGGCAAAACGATCAGCGATCCCGGAAAAGGATCCACCAAATCCGCGCAAATACTGAACGGCTGCTGAAGGATTGTGAACTGATTTTCACCATTTTTCGAGAGCTGACGGATTGAGAGCACCAAAGCAGATATACAAGCTAAGGTACATGATAAAAATAATAGGAGGTTCATGACCGGAAAGATCACGCCAAACAGGAAATTGCGGACATCCCTAAACTTGCTACTATGTTTATGGTGCACCTTGTACATCAACTGGCTATCGCAAGTATTGCATGGGACACAGACGCATTCAAAGCGCCACTATGGTTTTTAAAATGGAGATTGAATGCTGTAATGTATCCAAAAAACAAAAATTATTAACGTCTAAGAGTTCATTCCCCGAAAAAACTTGACGATTATGCGACTAGTGGACACTAGCTCAATACGGATGTAATGTAAAGAACCATGACAACATGGAAAGCAAAATGAGGACTCGCTGGGAATTGTGAAAAAAAATTTAAGTTGTTTGGGTTGTACGAGCGAAACGGAAGTTTGGTGCATACGTTTAGTTGACTGAAAAAAAATAAGTGATTGTTTTGACAATTTTAATTAGATGGTAATTGATCTCGAGAGATTAAAAAATCTCACGCTTGCTGAATCGCAAACCTTAACAACATATTGTTGCTCTGCCAAGAAAGACTTCGATATGCTGTCTGCTGACGTTTGGCATGTTGGATTGACCCACAAAAATAGTCTTCGGGAAGCACAGATGCCTTTATACGACTCGTGCATCCTCCTAACTAAGAGTTGAAGGTCACGGCCGATAGCGTAAATCACTACATCCAACTAAAGTGGAAATATTAGATTACATTCACATTGGAATCATGGGCCCTGACTGTTCAGTGCTACCTGTGAGGCTGGTCAAGAGGGCATTACGCTGGAATTCAAAGTCACTGGCTAAGACGCAGCCCTGGTACCTATCCATGAATCAGAAACGCAGATGCTTGCAGTAGGGGATTTGATCGAGTGATAACAATTTCACTGATTGATGCTTATTTGCTTTCAAAAATTGGCTGCTGCTCAAAATTCGTGGAAAGAGGGGTCTCTCAAGAAGGTCACCGCTGGAATCTGCTTCTGACACCATAAAACCCAGACTGGCTTAGCAGTGCAAGCATCCCCTCGCATCGTTGCAGCACGGCTAGCATCTGTTCAACGCCAGTTTTTCCTTTTTAATTATGGCTAAGCTAAATTTTCATTACGATTCATTTATCTTCTTTGGACCTATAAATGCTGTATAATTGGAAGATCTATTCTTGCGATCGAGGTAGCCCACAAAACGGTTTACACATGCCCGTTAACTTTGCGCTGCGGAAACGCAAAGGTGATTGGAATGCGTACCTGGACTATACAAGGAATGACTTTCGATGGCCAGCTGATATAGAATCAGTGCTATTCTCCTCCCACACGAGACTGGTACCAAATAACCGACACCGAGAGATGGAAGGTCTGGTTGGCCTTGGCGGATAGGAGATGATGCAGAGGCAAATGGCGCACTATCACACAAGCATGATCATGAGATCGAACTTCGGATCGATGTCCGCCTAAGCCAGAGAAGCCTTCCATCCCTTCTAGGGCGGTTAAATGGTACCACACTCGTTTGGGAGGATTAAAGACTGTCACTGACTTGAACATCGACTGGCCACCGCAACTTATTGTATAGGCCATACGCATACGATAAGCTTTCGCGGTTCTGAATGGAACTCTGTATACGGGGGCGCATCCCTCCGACGAGATCGATTAACTCCACTAGACTTTTTCTTTCAAGACTTGAATATACTGGCATTGTTAGTCTATTCGTATTTTATAGTACGTGCTTCTCGACATTCCTTGAGATGTTATTAACTGCTTCTTGCCATCGGAATATATTTTTTCATGGAGAATCGAAATATCCAAAAATGCAAGGAAATAATCAATTGGTTGCAACCATGTCAATAATGGATATGGATTAGACCCGACCGATTTCTATGATCTCCCATATCGATATGTGCCATGGATCACCCACTGTGCCACTTTTTCAACTCCTGCTGAAACACCTAGTCATTCGACTACAACAATGCTTTACTTTTACTCTTTTCATACTCTTTTTCGATGTTTGACAGTTCTGAATACTCCTCTATACTTCAACCCTACTACTCACCGCTCTGCTTAGTTTCGGAAAACTTTCGCTTCTAGCATTGCTATTCCACGTCTTCTATAAGNTCTGGTATGAAATCCTGAAACAGAACTATTGATCATCATAATCCTCTCGTCAAATACTTTCGATAATTAAATTTCAATTATAAAGGGATCTAGATGAATGCCCGCATGCAACCCATGCACATGGATCTCTATTTGAAAGACATATGCTCCCGAGTCGAAGCTTGCATTAACTTGTTGCTATCTCTACGTGTCCTACCTGAACTGTTAGCTTTCCTCAGATTGTTGCATTTCCCAATGTATGACGCGTTTCTGATGAGTAGGTTTCTCCAGATGCCGTTGCCTCCAACCTACGACGATCGCCTATGGATTACGAAGATTCTCGATCACATGAGGTAAGCCAAAAGCGACTACTCGCACTATTTTCGATATCCTTATTGAAGAAAGAATTAGGTTTTTGTCTTGAAAAAGAACGTCTTCACGCTCTGATATCATATAAATTGCGTTGACCGGCTGAGCATCTACTCTATGAAATCTGTATCGTCTTTCTGATTCGAGTAATGAGTAGAATTCTCTTCCTTTATTTTCCTTCCTTTATGATTACAATTATGAAAGGTTTTAGCAGAGGGATGTAGTTTCACTCTAACCCTAGATTGGCTCCGGGAAATCTGGGATGGGGTAAAAATTGAACGTTTAATTGGCTCACCCACCCCGGTGCTCTTTCCCTCCAATGCTTAGTTTAAACTATTTATATTTTCCAAGCTAAGAAACGTTCCTGAGCACCATTATGGATTTGGGAAGTCAGCTAGCCCTCCTTTCGCTGTAGCGCTCAGTTTTAGGAAGAAACATCCGTTTTTCTGCTTTTGAGGCCACTATTCTCTGGGCCGTTTTTTGATCAGACAGTTTCCTTATGCTATCCTTGGGGGGGGGGGGGGGGGGACCTAGGAAGAAATCTCAGGAACCATTCTACCGTCGACTGTGCCTTCAACGATTACTAATGCTAATACACTGGTGTGCAAAACTTAGCGACGAGATGGATAATGTAACATAAACATTGAGGACGGTGGAAATAAATGAAAGTGTGGGAGTATATTGCCGGGCCTATGACTGTTATCCACAGGAAGCTGGACTTCCCTTCGTGGAGGAATAGTTCAAATAAAACGAAAAATATGGCTGCCTGCACAAATCGAGGCAATTGATAGGTACGAAAAATTTTTTTTACAAATCAGCCAGTAGCTACCAAATACTGTGGTGGTATCCTTGTATACATCATGTCCCGCAGACTTCGTCTGGATGACTTGGCACGAGGAAAGGTCATCGGGAAACACGAAGAAGGTTGAACCATGCAGAGTGTAGCTCAGGAGCCTATTATCGCTCGCATCGCTGTTTCACGTGCATGAAGAGCATTCCCAACCACCGGTGCTGCTGCTTGAAGGAGAGGAGATCTTCCACCAAGACCAGCTACACTAAACGATGACCGCTACATTGTGCAGCAGGCAAGGAGAGAGCCACGTTAATCAGCTTCTGTGATTGCCATGTCACTTAACAGGTCTTCGAGGAAAGCCATCTGGCGCACTACAGTGGCACGACGACTGCACGGTGACGGTCTATTCGTCCGACGACCACTGCGTTGTGTTCCTTTGAACCTCGTGCATAGGTGAGAACGTTTAGGGTGGTGCCAGGAGCACAGCGAATGGACCGATAAAGAATGGAGTCGTGTGCTCTCTACGGATGAGAGCAGATTCAATCTGAGTAGTGATTCTGAACTCACCCTTATATGGCGAGAGGTAGAAGCACGAAACCCTCCCAGAAACTGTCGAACGTGATCGTTCTGGTTGTCGAGGTGTATTGGTATGGAGGACATCATTGCTGCATAGCCGCATTAACCTCCAGATTCTTGATCGTTGAACCCTTACCAGTCAGTGTTACCGTGACGAGGTACTCCTTCCCCATGTGCGTCTTTTTAAGGCTGCAGTGGGCACTGGATTCATTTTTATGGGTGACAGTGCGCGACCGTATCGGACAGCACATGTTGAGGAGCTCTTGGCACAAGAGAGTATTCGGCGAATGGGGTGGCCTGCCCGTCCCTTCAACCTAAATTCCATGGTGCACGAGTGGGATGCACTGAGTAGACGAGTTGCAGCACGTCCCAATTACCACTGACCATCCAACAATCGTCAATTGTGCTGATTGAGGAGTGGAATGCCTTTCCACAGGAACTCTTCACCAACCTTGTGAAAGGTATCGAGATCGCGTTGCAGAGCATTTATTGCTGTTCGTTGTGAACATACACTCAATTGGGAAGCGCGTCGCTTTATATGAAGTACTAGGACGTGAGAAACTATGTATAATCGGTACCTTTGAATGGAAATGTATTATATGCTCTTCTTATTTCAATTTTCTGTCAGTTGCTTCCTGTGCAACACCGCAATGGTCCTCTATCGGTATGATATAAATTTCATCGAGCTCTGTTGCCTGCCAGAGGTACAGTAATCGAATGTTGCTTTCGTCCCTAAGTTCTGCACACCAGTGTACAAATAATTACTCTGTCCTTTTTTGAATTACTGCGTGTCCCTTCAGCAGCAGTGACTTACTTATTCTACGAGCTTTATAGATTTACATGACACTCAGCAGCGACCGATAATGGTCTTGTCTCTAGCCATCCTTTTACCTTTAATTTCAGTTACGAAGAGGCTTTCCGACGACGACATGAAATTCCTTTTCGTCCTTATAAAAAGGATCGTTCTGCGAATATACACAACAATTGGGTCTACAAGGTAATCGCTCATCGGTCAGAAGTCTATTCCATTTTCACTGCTTGCATAAGACTCAAAGTCCACCCGTATGACCACTAATGACAGGACAGAGGTACCCAGGCTGCAGGTACTCAGGCTAAGGCAAGGAACCTGTAAAGAGGCCAACATTCGGTTCTCCAGATAACGTAAGTGTAAGCAACAATGCTGCTTATAATTTGCTTTACTCCATGTGTTGAGCTGTTTTGTTGGGGTACGCTTCGTTGCGCGCGTCCGTCAAAACCAGGTCACGTCGCAGCCGTCGCATGCGGTGGGTCAGCCTGCGATACTTGACAGACGTCGCAGCTGTCAGTGGGGCATACGATTTGCGCTTGATACATGGGGGGGGGG